CTCCTGACTATTTTAAAAATACTGGGGAAGGGGTTGGGTGGCAATAAATCAGGAGGGATTCTATACGTCGGTTTGGGAATTTCCGTATCATTGTGGATTCTTGGAAAAATGACTTAACGTCCCTGGATCTCAGGTTGATTGATTGTGTTCCGTCTTTAAATTTAACCGGATCAGCCCCGGCCGGAGCGGCTCCGTTGGTTGGAGCGGCCTCTGGTGCACAGAAGGGTCGAGGGTGTGATTGCCAGTCAGGGCACACACTCGGGATGAGGGTTCGATTCCCGGTCTGGGCATATGGATGTTTCTCACATCCATGCTTCTCTCCCTTCCTCTCTCTCTCAAATCAATAATAATAATAAACATTTAGAAAATAAAGTTAATAAAAATATATCCTCAGGTGAGCATTTAAAAATGTTTTTTAATGTAACTAGATCAGAAAACTGGTACTTTAACTTCTTGTTCAGTAGCACCTATTCAGAACTGTGGTGAAACTCCCTCCCCCAAGGCTGCTTTCCTCCACCTGTTGCTCCTTCCCAATCCCAAACCCACAAAGAATAGTTATGAATTATTCCTTAGACCAGTGGTTCTCAACCTTGGCTGCACATTAGAATCACCTAGGAATCTTTTTAAAATCCTGATTTCTGGGCCTCATCCTCCGGAAATTCTGTTTCTTTGTTACTAATGTTGTGGCCTCACCCCATAACAAAGAAAAAACAGAATTTCCGGGGGATGAGGCCCAGAAATCAGGATTTAAAAAAGATTCCCAGGTGATTCTAATGTGCAGCCAAGGTTGAGAACCACTGCCTTAGACTGAGCCTAAAAGATTTGAACCATCTCTGACAGAACTCAGTTCCTACTATGTGACAGACACTTTCCACCAGAAGGTTAAGCAGAAGTAGAAAGTCAATAAGATACAGAGGGAGATTTAAAGGTCCAAAAGTAGGGGTGTGAAATACTACTTGGGCCTAAAAAAGAAGGAAATCTTATCTTTTGCAATAGCATGGGTGGACCTGGAGAGCATTATGCTAAGTGAAATAAGTCAGTCAGAGAAAGATAAGTACCATGTGATTTCACTTGTATGTAGAATCTAATGAACACAATGAACTAACAAACACAATAGAAACAGACGCAGATACAGAGAACAGACTGACAGCTTTTAGGGGGGAGGGAGACATGGGGGGCTGCATGAAAATGGTGAAAGAATTAAGAAGAAAAAAAACCACCCACAAACACAAAAAAACTCATAGACACAGACAAGAACATGGTGAATACCAAAGGAAAAAAGGGGTGGGGGGAGGTAGAAGAGAGTAAAGTGGGTATAAATGGTGAGGGAAAGAGACTTGACTTGGGGTAGTAAACACAATAGAATATATAGATGATGTATTATAGAATTGTACACCTGAAACCTATATAATTTTATTAACAAATATCACCCAATAAATTCACTAAAATAAGTAAATAAAGTAGGGGAGTGATTTTGAGTGGTCAGAGCAAGTGACAATCTTTAAAACACGAAATAGGCGCATAGTGGACCCATGCCAGAGGAAGTTGCAGCCTCAAACCATTGCCCAGCCTCCTTACCCTTGGGCTGTGAGCAGTGAAGGGGGCTGTACAGAATAGAAAAATAAATAAATGAATAAATGAATAAAATAAAAATAAAACATGAAATAGGAAGAAATAAACTAATTCATTTTCACATTGAAATTGTAGAGAACATTGCATCAGGTTTGTTTGTTTTTCAGTCTTCCATGACTGACACTTTTTGTAAGTAAGATTTTGTGTGTGTTTTTTGTTTGTTTCTTAATTCTCACCTGAGGGTATTTTTTCCATTGATTTTTAGAGACAATGGAAGGGAGGAAGGATGAAAGAGAGAAACATCCATATGACTCACATCAAGTGGTTGCCTCCCACACATGGGGATCAAACCTGCAACCCAGCCCTAGCCAGTTTGGTGCAGTGGATAGAGCATCGGCCTGCGGACTGAAAGGTCCCTGGTTTGATTCCGGCCAAGGGCACATGCCCGGGCTGCAGGCTTGGTCAGTGGGGGGCAATCGAACCTGGGACCTTTCAGTCCGCAGGCCAACGCTCTACCCACTGAGCCAAACCGGTTTCGGCATCATCATTGATGTTTATATCTCTTCCTCCCTCTCCCTTCCTCTCTTAAATCAATAAAGAAATATATTTTAAAAAAAAACAAAACAAAAAAACCCTGCAACCCAGGTACATGCCCTAGACTGGGAATCGAACCCATGACCCTTTGGCTTCGGTGCACAGGCCTTCTCTCTGACCACTGAGCGCACCAGCCAGGCTGCATCAGGGTTGTTTTTAAGATGGAAAAATAATCTGAAGAAAACCTGCTTAACCAAGAAAAACACGGTTACCAATGCAACAGTTTCGGTAAACTACAGGTACAATATGCCAAAAGTTAAACCAGCTTGAGAAAATTTATCAAAACTCAGAGGGAAATATAATAGATAAAAACTATTAGAGGTAAGGACAGAAGATATAGAGAATAGATCCATAAAACTAATAATCAAATATGAGCTCCAGAAGGTGATAACAGAACTGACTGAGGAGGAACAATAATACAAGAAAATTTACTAAGTTGATGGAAAAATTTGAATTTAAGATTTAAATTTAACCCTCAGATTTAAAGAGCTCATGAAGTACCAGGTAAAAATAAGTGAAAAGCTTATAAGTGGAAGCTTCTGAATTTAAAGAGTTGAAATATGTGTTGACATAGAATAGTTTTCAAGATGTTATATTAGTTTAAAAAAAACAACACATGCTAGTTGCAGAACAATACAGGGGTGGGCAAATATAGGTTTATAGTTGAGAGCGTGTGAAACATAGAATTTATTCTTGTACAGTGGCGTCTTGACTTACGAGTGTCCTGACTAACGAGTTTTTCGAGTTTTTCGAGATACAAGCCGTCTCTCGGCCGATTTTTTGCTTTGAGTTGCGAGCTAAACTTCGGGTTACGAGCCAGCTTCAGATACCCCACCGCTAGTTGGCGCAGCAAACGTCACAGTGAACGCCACAACATCAGCCGAATTAAACTCATAAGTCAAGGCCTCACTGTATTGTTCTTTATTAACTAGAGGCCCGGTGCATGAATCCGTGTACCAGTGGGGTCCCTCGGCCTGGCCTTCAGGATCAGGCTGAAACAGGCTCTTGGACATTCCCCAAGGGGTCCTGGATTGCGAGAGGGCACAGGCCAGGCTGAGGGCCCCCACCGGTGCACAATCGGGGCCGGGGAGGGAAGTGGGAAGTTGGCCAGCTGGGAAGGGACTGCGGAAGGGCTCCAGGGCATGTCCAGCCCATCTAGCTCAGTCTCAATCGGTCGGACCACAGCAGCAAGATAACCTACCAGTCGGAGTGTCTCCCCTCTGGTGGTCAGTGCACGTCATAGCGACTGGTTGACCGGTTGACTGTCTGCCCCCTGGTGGTCAGTTCATGTCATAGCGAGCTGTTGAGCGGCCTTAGCATATCATTAGCATATTACACTTTGATTGGTAGAACAGATGACCAGACACTTAGCATATTAGGCTTTTATTATATAGGATTATTGTATTTTCCATACAAACAACTGTAACTCTATTTTTGCCCACACTTGTATGTAGAGTAAGGTTCTCTCTAAGTGCAGCAAAACCATTTATTGCATATGTTAATATCTTTATAAATACATCAAAAAGGTGTGGAAAAATACATACCAAACTTTTGAAATGGTTATCTTTGTGGAAGAGAGTGAATTTAATGGTAGAGACTGAAAGACCTACATTTTTTTATAATGCTTTAAATTATTACAGTAAGGATTTGTTCACATATTATCCTATATAATAAAAGGATAATATGCAAATGGACCAAATGGTGGAACAACCGGTCGCTATGATGCACACTGACCACCAGGTGCAGACGCTCAGCACAGGAGCTGCACCCTAGTGGTCAGTGCACTCCTACAGGGGGAGCACCACTCACCCAGAAGCCAGGTTCATGGCTGGCAAGCGCAGCGGTGGTGGCGGGAGCCTCTCACGCCTTCCATGGCAGCGCTAAGGATGTCCCACCGACGTCCCCTGAGGGCTCCCAGACTGCAAGAGGGTGCATGCCAGGCTGAGGGGACCCCCCACCCAGTGCATGAATTTCATGCACTGGGCCTCTAGTGTGAGTAATAAAACAACAAAGCAAATTTGGATAGTGGGGGAGAGAGAAATTCAGTTTCTAAAAACAAATATTACACAGGTCATCATTGCCTGAGCACAAAGTAGTAAAATGAGTAATGAATAATCACAAACTTAAAAATTCTAATCACTTGGAATTTTTTTAAAAACACCAATTTTGAATAACTCAGGTCAAAAAATAAAACTAATATCATGGATTCTTTAAAAATTAAGGTTTCTGTAGGTGGAGAAAGGTATAGGGGCAATAAATGGTAATGGACAGGCACTTGACTTGGGGTGGTAAACATATACTACCGTGTACAGATGATGTGCTGTAGAATTGTGCACCTGAAACCTGTATAATTTTGTTAACAAGTGTCACCCCAGTAAATTCAATAAAAAAGAAAAAAGTTGCCGAAACCGGTTTGGCTCAGTGGATAGAGCGTCGGCTTGCGGACTGAAAGGTCCCAGGTTCGATTCCGGTCAAGGGCATGTACCGTGGTTGCGGGCACATCCCCAGTAGGAGATGTGCAGGAGGCAGCTGAACGATGTTTCTCTCTCATCGATGTTTCTAACTCTCTATCTCTCTCCCTTCCTCTCTGTAAAAAATCAATAAAATATATTTTTAAAAAAAAGTTAATGAAAATATTGCACCCAAAACCTATGGTATATTATTAAAGCAATACTCAGGGAAATTTGTAACCTGTGCTTTTATTATTAATTTTTAAAGAATAGAAATTAAAAGGAAAATAGAAGAATAAAGATAAAATCAGAAATTAATAAGGGAAAAAGAACAATACTTGATTTAAAAAATTGAAGATCTCATTCTTTAGAAATAAATTAGACATTAAAATAGACACATTTCTGGAAAAAAAAAAAAGAAACCTAAAGAACATCCTCTTGGAAGTCTCATAAGTAATTCAAACTTAGCTCATCAAATCACTGATTTTCTCTAAAATATTTGTTCCTTCGTCAGTCTTATATCTTAATAAATTATACCACCATCTAAGTCAAAACCCTGGAGTTATCCTTGTCTCCCTCATTCCCCACATTCAAACCAATATCAGGATATGTCTCTTCTATCTCTGTAGTGGACATCTATGGAATTCACCACCTCAACATTCTTCCTTTTCTCTTGAAAACTCCCTCACTCTCAGAAGTATTTTTTCTTTGTCCTTTTGTTTCTCTTTCCTTTTTTTCTTCTCCCTTCATTTGCTCCTGTTTTTCCCACAGGTACAGAAATTTAAGGCAATCATACTATTTGGTTCACATTACCATCAAGGCCTTTCTTATCTTTTCCCCATTCCAATTACTACTCATGTTCCTACCCTCCTCACTTAGGTCATCGCTCTAATATGTTTGAAATATGTCCTTGGATATATCTATGTCTTTTAATAATATATAATGTCTTATGTATGTATATGTTTTAAATGTACATAATTGACATCATGTTATAGAAATCATTCTGTTTCTTTTTCATGTTTCTGTGAATACTTCTGATGCATAATATTGTCTTAAATGCCCTCACACCCTTGGCCACTGGTCCTGGGCCAAGATGGGCCAATCAGAGTCCTTACCCAGAATTTTTTTTAACTGAAACTGAGAAAGAAAATTCCTCTCCAGTGTGGAAGCCATAAAATGTAAAACACAGGAGCTGTCGGCAGCCACGCGTCCTGCCATGTGGAACTGGTCTGCGACAAAAAAGAATGAAGCTAACATGCAGAAAGCAGCAGAGGTGAGAAACAGAGTCCTAGAAAATCTCAAATCCCTGGTTTTAATTGTTCCTAAAGGTCCATATCCCTGCCCGTCCCATATTTTAACTTTCTTCGATTCCATGAGCCAGTAAATCTCATCACCTCCATCTTGTGTCCAGTTCAAATTGCGGTTCTATTATTTGCAGCCTATTTGTAACTAACTAATTATAATCTTCAAAATGTAACTGTTTTTCTGTTTTTTTTTATTGTGGTAAAATACATATAACATAAAATATATCATCATAGCAATTTTTAAATATACAGTCCAGTAGTGATAAGTACATTCACATTGTTGTACAACCAATCTCCAGAATAATTTTCATCTTGCAAAATTGAAACTATACTCATTAAACAGCTTCCCTTCCCTTTCCCCCAGCCTCCGGCAACCACCATTCTACTTCCTATGAATTTATCTGCTCTAGGTACCTCGCATAAGTGTAATTATAAGTATTTGTCTTTTTGTCTGGCTTATTTCACTTAACATAATATCCCCAAGATTCATTCATATTATAACATGAATAGTAATCAATTCCATTGGTATAGATCAGATTTTGTTTATTCATCTGTCAGTCGATACTTGGGTTGCTTCTATTTTTGGCTATTGTGAATAATGTTGCTATAAATAATAATAATAATAATAATAATGCTATGAACAGGTGTACAAATATGTATTTGAGACTCTCTTTCAGTTCTTTTGGGTATATATCCAGAAGTGGAATTGCTAGATCATATGGTGATTCTATGTTTAATTTTTTTACATACTACCATGCTGTTTTCCATAGTAGCTGCACCAGTTTACATTTCCACCAACAGTGCACAAGGGCTCCGGTTTCTCCACATCCTACCAACACTTGTTATGTGTGTGTGTTTCATAATAGTCATTCTAGCCCTAGCTGGTTTGGCTCAGTGGATAGAGCGTCGGCCTGTGGACTGCAGGGTCCCGGGTTCAATTCCTGTCAAGGGCACATGCCCAGGTTGCGGCTGGATCCCCAGTAGGGCGTGTGCAGGAGGCAGCCCAATGGTTCTCTCTCATCATTGATGTTTCTATCTCTCTTTCCCTCCCTCTCCCTTTCTCTCTGAAATAAATAAAAAATATATTAAAAAATAATAATAGTCATTCTAATATATGTAAGATGGTATCTCCTTATTTGATTTGCATTTCCCTAATAATTAGTAATGTTGAGCATCTTTTCATATGCTTGTTACAAGTCCATTTGTATATCTTCTTTGGAAACATGTCTGCTCAAATCCTTCACCCATTTTTTTAAATCAGGTTTGTTTTTCCAAAATGTGATTTTTTTAAAAAAATAATCAAGTGATTATTTTTTTCTGCCTCCACTTTCATCATCCAAGTCCCTGTTGTCTTTCATGTGGAAAACTCTAATACTATTTAACTGAATCCCCTGATTCCACTCTTTTCTCTTTTTTTTTCCATTCACCATGATGTAGTGATTTTCTGAAAATATTAATTCTAGCATGTCACTTACCTGTTCAAAATTTTTCAATGGCATTCCATTGCTCTTGAGTAACATATCCATGAATCATGGTCCCTAATGATCTAGACCCTGCCAACTTCACTCTCATCTCTTACACTACTCTTTGATCACTATTTTCACATACATTGGCCTCCTTTTAGTTCCTAGAATATGCCAACCTCCATCCCTCCTTAAAGTCTTCACACATGTTATCCGCCTACTTGAAAGACTTTTTTCCCTATTCTGGCCATTCAACTTACGGGTCACCTTAAAATTTCACTTCTCCATAGAGAACCTTACCTGATATAAATAAGGCCCAACATTATAGTATCCTATCATAATACACTTCCCTAAATATCACCTATTACTATTTGTAAATAAATATCTATTTTGGGATTGCTTATTGCGCATCTCTCCACGAGACTGTAAGTTTTATGAGAGCAGAGACAAGTCTATTTTTCTAACACGACATCTCCAGATCAAACAGTATCTGACACATAGAAGGTGCTCACTATTTCATAACTGAATGAATAAATGAATGAATACCACAGATATGCAGAATACCTAGATATATTAATATGTTCAACTTCATACTAATTTTGTATGATTTTGCAAATAATACATTACTGGAATTAATTCAGGAGGAGTTGGAAAATCTACATTAAAGGAATAATTATGAAGTCACTGAGAAAGTTACCAGAAGGATATTTATAAGGTAAAGACAAATTATCTTTATTTGCAGATAGCGTGATTATTTGGAGAATGAACTAGAAAATATTAGCTCTAACAAGATACTCTAGTCCTAACCAGTTTGGGTCAGTGGATAGAGCATCAGCCTGTGGACTGAAGGATCCCGGGTTTGATTCCAGTCAAGGGCACATGCCTGGGTTGTGGGCTTGATCCCCAGTTACAGGGCGTGCAGGAGGCAGCCAATCAGTGATTCTCTCTCATCATTGATGTTTCTATCTCTCTCTCTCCCTCTCCCTTCCTCTCTGAAATCAATAAAATAAAAATATATTTTTTTAAAAAGATACTCTAGTAAAGTGTCCTATTACATTTTCATATACATTATCAGTAAGTAATTTAAAAATCTAAGGAAATACCTTATCTCAAAAAATGTACTTAGACATAAATTTAATCATATCTGTATTGGACACAAATAAACTATAAAAACTTTACTGAGAAACCTAAAACGAAAACACTTTACTAAATTGAAAGACACAGATGTTTATGGATAGGAAGACTTTATTCTTAAATGTCATACGCCCCCAATTCATTGTTCATTTTACAGTGTGGTATTTCTGACAACCTTGATAAAGGATTTCTAAAGTCTCTTTGAAAGAATGATTTGTGAGAAACGCTAATAAATTTTAGAAAGAGTAATCAGGGAAGAACATAATACAATGAACAACTGGAAAATGAATTGACAGTCTCATAAATGGAACAAAATATGAAGTCCAGAAAAGCCCTAAGCACTAATAGAAATTTAATTTTGATAAACATAACATTTCAGAAGAAAAAGATGATTCAGTCAGTAAATTGGTGTGTTAAAGACTCATGAAAGAATAAGTGGCCAATAAATATACAGAAAAAGTGTTCAATCACTGTTTAAAAAAAAGTAAATTCAAACTACTAGATATTTCATTAAATGAACAGATAAAATGATATATCAAAGGTGAAGAAAAATGGACATTCCTTAGAAACTGCTGTGAGAGTATAAAATGGTATAATCTACAACCCTTTTGGAGATGAATTTGGCAAGGGGTATAAAATGTCTTAGAATTGTACATGCCTTTTGATGCAAATACCAGTTGGTGGAATCTACTCAAAGCATGTATGGAGATACACAAAGATCTTGTAACAAGGCTATTATTCATTACATCATTATTTATTACTAGAGGCCCGGTGCACGAAATGCGTGCACAGGTGCAGTCCCTAGGCCTGGCCGGCAATCAAAGCATGAGCGTCTGGCGTGGAAGGGCAGGTCCCAGCTGACCTCTGGGCCCTGGGAAGCACCTGGGCCCCTTGGCCCCCGCGCACCCCCCTCCGCCTGAGTCCCAGCACCAGAGTCCCCATGTGGAGATGAAGTGAGCACGGCCAGACGCTGCAGGCCAGGGCTCAGAGTGGATCTCTGGGCCACCCAGTGATGCTGCATGGAAGCCGGGCGGGCAGCATGCTCTCTCCCGGCTTGCCTCGCAGACTGGCTCCTGCACGAACCCACAAGCCTGACCGGCCCCTGCGGTCCCAGGGCTGCCGCCCAGCTCACCTGGAAGAAGAGGCCATGCAGGTGCAGGGCGGGCTCCTTGCGGGTGCCCAGCACCTGAGTGTGGGGCTTCCCCGGCGCGAGCCCTGGCATCCTGGGGAAGGGTAGCTGGGGGAGTGAGAGTGAGCTTGGCGGACACCCTGCATTCTCACCGCACCTCTGTCTCCAGGTAGCCGGTGAGAGGTTGCAGCCCCCACCCTCCCGCCCGGGCACCATGGGAGATTGGTTGCTGCCACCCACCCCCAGTTCTCCATCTCAGTTCCCCGCCCGGCTCCCTCAGCACCTGGGAGCCAGGCGGTGGCCCCACCCCTTGCCACAGCTGCTGGTCGCTGTTTGCAGGACAATCAGCGGGGTAGATTGGGCCCAGCTTGTCCCCTCCTTGGCCTGGCGTCGCCCGCTCATCTGCTCCACCATCCCACCACAGTCCCACTCTCATCAGGGCCCATCAGGGCCTGCAGCACCTCCACTGCTGCCTGCTGCCAGTGCCACGTCACTGACGCCCACCATGTTCCGCACCGCCCCCTGGTGGTCAGCACACGTTATAGCGAGCAGTCAAACTCCTGGTCAAGGGGACAGTTTGCATATTAGGCTTTTATTATATAGGACTAAAGGCCCGGTGCATGAAAATTATGCACGGGGCGGGGGAGGGGGGAATCCCTGAGCCCGGCCTGCACCCTTTCCAATTCAGGACCCCTTGGGGGATGTCCGACTGCCTCTCGCAATCTGGGACCGCTGGCTCCTAACCACTTGCCTGCCTGCCTGCTTGATCACCCCTAACCACCTCTGCCTGCCTACCTGATTGCCCCTAACTGCTCCCCTACCAGCCTGATTGCCCCTAACTGCTCCACTGCTGGCCTGATCGCCACTAACCACCTCTACCTTGCCCTGCAATCCGGGACCCAGGATTCCCTCCTCCGGCCAGTCACAGGCACCTGGGACCCAGGCTTCCCTCCCTTTGGCCGGCTGCAGGCACCCGGGACCCGGGCCGGCTTCGCTCGGGTTGGCCGAAGCTGCAGGGGACCGTGGGCAGGTGGCTTCACCCGGGCTGCAGCCACAGGTGCCCAAGACTGTGGAGCATGTGGCTTGTCCCTCTCTCGGGCCACAGCCTAGCTGGTCCCCATTCCTCTCTTGCGAGTTCATTTGTGCCTGCTGGTCCCCATTCCTCTTTTGTGAGCTCATTTGTGCCTGGCTGGTCCCCATTCCTCTTTTGTGAGCTCATTTGTCCCTGGCTGGTCCCCATTCCTCTCTCCCTAGTGTTGAGTGTCTGAGCCGTTATGGCATGACAGCATGAGGGTGTGATGACCATTTGCATATTAGCTCTTTATTATATAGGATAGCCCCCCCACCCCAATCTAAATGTTCAACAGTAGAGTTATGTAAAATTCTGGTATTTTTTGTAAAAAGGAATACTATTAAGCCATTTTAAAAGTTGCATAAATAGACGTATTGATAAACAAAGATTCATAGATTATTCATAATATTGTTTGAAAAAAAGCAAGTTACCAAACCTGTTAAAGTTTTTTTTTATCTAAAATATGTTTTATTGATTTTCTACAGAGAGGAAGGGAGAGGGATAGAGAGTTAGAAACATCGATGAGAGAGAAACATTGATCAGCCACCTCCTGCACGCCCCCCACTGGGGATGTGCCCACAACCAAGGTACATGCCCTTGACCGGAATCGAACCTGGGACCCTTGAGTCCGCAGGCCGACGCTCTATCCACTGAGCCAAACCAGTTCTGGACAAACCTGTTAAAGTTTTGTCTGTATATATATGTGAGCCTAGAGAGATAAGCACCAGGCCTTAGCTAGCATTTGTCTTTGGGGAAGAACCAGATTAAATCTGTTTTTCTATTGAACATGCATTACTTTTGTTTGTTAATAAGAAAAAATAAAGAAAACTTTTTTTAAATGCTATAAAAGTAGTGAAAAATTGAAGCATAATGCAGTATTGAAAATTATAATTATGAAAACTTTGAAGAAACTGAGCCAAATGGAGGAGTAAACAAAATGTTATCTTTGTCCTGATTTTAACTGTCATATAATGTATGTATATTGAAGAAAAGGAAACATAGAAAATGAGCATAATTTATTAAGATAGTAGGATTGTAGGCAATTTTTCTCATTGTTAAATAATTTTTAAAAATAAAAATTTATAGCAGAATTTGAATGTAGCTCATTACAATGATGAAAATGTAGAGACCAGTCAAGAGATGGATGGTATGGGTAAGGGGTGAACTTTAAGCCTTCCATAATCATCATCAGGTACTTCCTATAAAGCTTCATCAGAAAAAACACACACTTATACTTACTAATAAAGTGCAAATGTAACTTTCTTTGAAACAAGTTCCCTTCTATACAAAGATTCTGGAGCCCTGGTAATGGAGACAGTACCCCCATTAACACCACAGGCCCAGGCCTATTTTACTATAAAGCATTTTCTTTTTATTGATTTTCGAGAAAAAGGAAGGGAATGAGAGAGAAACATCAATGTGATGTTGCCTTTCCTGGCCAGGGATTTGAACCCATAACCTAGGTATGTGCCGACAGGGAATTAAACCTGCACCCTTTGTGTGTGTGTGTGTGTGTGTGTGTGTGTGTGTGTGTGTGTGTGTGCATGGAACATTCCAACCTAGCCACACCAGATGGGCTCTTCTTATTTTTTATATAAAAAATATTTTAGAGCAGCTTAAGGTTCATAGAAAAATTGATCCAAAGGCAGGAGTTTTCCATAAAACCCCTGTCCCCCCACCCATATGCATAGCCTCCCCCATTATCAACATCGCTCACAAGAAAGGTATATTGGTTACAATTGAACCTACATTAACTCTTTACCCCCCAAAGTCCATAGTTTACACTGTAGTTCACTCTTGTATATTCGATAGGTCTGTATTTTGCATTTTCAAAATCTTTTCATTGAACATGTTGACTTTTGTTTACCCCTTTTTTATTCCTGGATTTCAGAACAATGTGTGCTCAGTACTGCATCTCCTTTGCTGATGTTGAAAAAGCTCATATCAACATTCGAGATTTTATCCACCTCACACCAGTGCTAACAAGCTCCATTTTGAATCAAGTAACAGGGCGCAATCTTTACTTCAAATGTGAACTCTTCCAGAAAACTGGATCTTTTAAGGTAACAATCCCTTTTGATAGTGTGGCGTGTATTTTTTCAATCCCTTTTCACATATTAAATTTATTAGATTCTCCTGACTACTCAGTGAGGTAGATAGAATAAATATCTTCTTATAGTTGAAGAAAGGGTTGTAGTTTTCCTTTGATCAAGTTCTGGTTACTTAGCATCAGGTGTTTACAAGCCACTTTTTTACTGTCCAAACTAGGATATGAGAATGAAAGAGGAAACTTCTAATGATTAAATGGAGACAATAGACATCACCCTGAACTGTTGCAAGGCAAAATGGGCGAGTGGGATCACTGTATATCCAAGTTTAAGCACTCACTTTGTGTCAGCTTGCTATTGATACCTTATTATGATTATAAAAGATCTAAACCTAGCTAAATCCTCATATCTTTTTTTTTTTTTTAATTCTCACCCGAGGATATCTTTCCATTGATTTTTAGATAGAGTGGAGAGGAGAGGGAGAGACAGAGAGCAACATCGTTGTGAGAGACACATTGATTGGTTGCCTCCTGCGCGTGCCCTGACCGGGTGGGGATCAAACCTGCAACTGAGGTACATGCCCTCGACTGGTATCAAACCCGGGACCCTTCAGTCTGCGGGCCGACGCTCTATCCCTGAGCCAAACCAGCTAGGGCCTCATAAAATCTTTTTCTACCAAGTATGTCAGTGCCTTTTCTATGCAAAAAGATAGACTTATGTGTGTTGATTCATTACCATTAGTTGAACTTTAAGATCCTTCAGGTAAAAATCTGAAAACTGCATTTAGTGCAGTACCTGACAGGTGTCAGTACCTGTTAAGTGATAGCTTTAAGATTTCAAGAATCTACCTTTTCTCCTACCATAAACTGAGAGCTTTTACACTAAAACATAAAAAATTCTCACCCTAGCCGGTTTCACTTGGTGGCTAGAGTGTCAGCCCATGGACTGAAGGGTCCCAGGTTTGATTTTGGTCAAGGGCACATGCCCAGGTTGCAAGCTCATTCGGTCCCCAGTAGGGGGTGTGCAGGAGGCAGCCTATCAATGATTCTCTCTCATCATTGATGTTTCTATCTCTCTCCGCCCTTCCTCTGAAATAAATACAAATATATATCTTTTAAAAGTTCCTTTTCCCTTTGCTTCTGCCAAGGCCTTGCCCTATATCCAACTTGCAGGAGAAGGCAGGCTGGTCAACAAATAGGTTGATGAGAAATGTCTTAAGAGAGATATATACAAAGTGCCATGAAAGAAGAGAGAATGAAGTTACTAATTTTGCCTGGAAGATCAAGGAAGTTGAATCAGATGAGTATGATCCAAATTTTATAGGATATGTACTTTTTTTTAAAATTTTTTAAAATATATTTTATTGATTTTTTACAGAGAGGAAGGGAGAGAGATAGTTAGAAACATCATGGGAGAGAAACATCAATCAGCTGCCTCCTGCACACCCTCTACTGGGGATGTGCCTGCAACCCAGGTACATGCCCTTGACCGGAATCGAACCTCAGGCCGGCGCTCTATCCACTGAGCCAAACCGGTTTCGGCAGGATGTGTACTTTTATCCAAATCAGGGAGTGGGGGAAAGAACGACAGGTAGAGATATGGCATGCTCAGAGGTACAGGGGTGTGAGCTAACCTGGTAGGAGGGAAACTAGAAACAATTTAGGATGGCTATAACAATGATACAGGCAGATTTGTATTTGAAAGGCTGTAACTTATAACTTGTACTTTTTTTTTTTTTTTACTAAAAAAGGCATTCAGCCCTAGCCAGTTTTGCTCAGTTAATAGAGCGTCAGCCTGTGGACCTAAGGGTCCCAGGTTCGATTCCTGTCAAAGGCACATACCTCAGTTGCAGGCTCTTCCCCAGCCCGTGCCCCGGTTGGGGCTCATGCAGGAGACAACCAATCAATGTTTTTCTCTCACATCGATGTTTCTGTCGTTCCCTCTCTCTTCCACTCTCTCTAAAAATCAATGGGAAAATAACAAGTGAGGATTAAAAAATAAAAAGGGAAGTCAAAGAAAAAAATAACATTTGTCTTTAAAAGATCACTTTAATAATCTAGTGGAAATATTAGATGAGAATGATCCTTGAAGCAGGATCACTTGAGGTTTGATAACACACAAGTTGAAAAATGAGGCCTCACCAAGGTAGTAGCAAAGAAGACACACAAGATATTTAGGAGGTAGAATAGATAAGATTTAGTGATGGACTGGATGTGCAGTATTAGGAAGAGAAAATCTAGTAAAGCTCCTTGGTGTGTGTGTTTTCTTTAAGAAACTTTAATCAAATATGAATTCACTCTCTTTTCAAGGTTCGTGGTGCCCTTAATGCAATCAGAGGTTTGATTCCTATCACTTCTGAAAAGCCCAAAGCTGTTGTTACTTACAGCAGTGGAAATCATGGCCAGGCTCTCGCCTATGCTGCCCAATTGGAAGGTACTTATTGATTTCTCCAGGTCCTGGGTAGGATGTTAGAGTAGAAAAGTATCCTTACTTTCAGTGAAGTGGGTGATAGCTGTGGGAATTTCTCTAAGTCCCTATCTGATTACAAGCAACTGAACAGAAATTTCTACCCTAAACTTTCCCGATTTGTACTAACAGTGTTTCTCCATCTCAGGAATTCCTGCTTATATTGTGGTACCCCAAACAGCTCCCAACTGTAAAAAACTGGCAATACAAGCCTATGGAGCCTCTATAGTCTACAGTGAACAGAGCGACGAGGTGAGGAAGGGAGCAATGTTCAGTAACATCTTACCAGTTTTCACTGTCAAATGAAATTTCTCTTCCTACATTTTTGGGTACTTCTTCTCAGGCTCCTGTTTCCCTTTTTTTCTTTTTTAAAGATTTTATTTTTTAAAGAAAGGGAAAGGGAAAGAAACATTGATCAGCTGCCTCCTGCATGCCCCCCACCCAGGGGTTGAGCCTGACCTGGAATTGAACCAGCAACCTTCTGGTGCACAGGACAGTGCCCAACCAACTGAGCCACACAGGCCAGGGCTCCTGTTTCCTTTTTATATATGCCTAACCTTTTCTTTACCTACACTCATGTTAGTCTCATAGTTTGAAATATCACCCATCTATATGCCAACTCCAGGCCTGAACTTTGCCCTTAACCCAGATTTGTATATTCACAGTTACTCAGTGTCCCTACTTGGATGTCTTAATAGGCATTTCAAACTTGCTGTCAAACCAAATGATCTCATTCCCCCCTTTATTGCTCCTCTTCCAGTCTTCCTCATCTCAGTAAATGGCAAACTAGTTGCTAAAAACCAATGTTGAAGTCATCTTGGTAACTTTTGCACTCCACATCCAAATTTTAGACCTACTTTCAAAATATTTTCATAATTCACCTACTTCTAGCAGCCTCTACCATTACTGATTCAAACCAACATCAGTTCTCAGGTAGATTCAGCAGCCGCCTAACTGGTGTCTCTGCTTACACCCTTGTCCCACTAGTCTGTTTTCAGAGCAACCAGCTATCCTTAATAAGTTAGAACTTCTCTTGTCAGCTCAAAATCCTCCAGCGTTTTCCCATCTCATACATAGTGGGAACCAAAGTTTTTCAATCATCTAAGGCCTAGGCAGACTGGCCCATTCCTATCACTCTGACCTCATCTCCCAGTTATCCACCCCAAACACTCCACGCCAACCGCACTTAGCAGTTTCTCAGAAAGGCCAAGAGCTTTGCAGTCTTTGCACTTGGAATTACTTTCCCTGGAATATTCTGGGTTCACATCTATTAAAATATCACTTTATCAGCGGCCCTTTGTGAGTACCCTGTATAAATTTTCTCCATAGTATGTAGACATACTATAGATTTACTTATATTCTGCCCCTCCCCAACATATCCTATATAATAGAGCTAAAATGCTAATTAGACCAGACGGCAGAATGACCAGTGGACAGGGCCATGAGGCAGCCTGGGCTGCGACAGGCCAAGCCCCTTGCACGAATTTCATGCATCGGGCCTCTAGTTAGAACATAACTCCCTGGAGCACAGGGACTGTTTTGTTCAGTTATATTCCCAGTGCCCAAAGTCTCAAAAAAGTAGATGGCCAATAAAGGGTTAAATGCTTGAATCTAATTTGTTGAAAACACTACTAAATACAGATCAAGTATGCTAAAAGAATGTACTCTTTCAGTCCAGAGAAAATATTACCAAAAGAATTATAGAAGAAACTGAAGGCATCATGGTACATCCCAATCAAGAACCTGCAGTGATGGCTGGGCAAGGGACAATTGCCATGGAAGTGCTGAACCAGGTAAAAGCCTAGACAGTTCTTGCTGAACTACTGGTAAATCTGATGTTTGACTGTAGAATCAACTATTTAATATGTACATATAAAACTGGTGTTTAATAGGCCTACTTATACTTTATATTCTTTTCACTGAAGGTTCCTTTGGTAGATGCACTGGTGGTACCTGTAGGAGGAGGAGGAATGATTGCTGGAATAGCAATTACAGTTAAGGTAAGAAAACAACTCTGGAAGACTCCCCACTTTAGACATAGAGGATTTTATTTCACATCATAGTACATTGTGGTACTTGCTCAACATTCCCCCTAAACTGCCATTCTCATTTCTTAGCAAATGAGATGAAAGGCCCTTCTCTGCCTCACCACCCTTTCCTTAATTTATGACTTTACAGCACAAAAGCAATTACAGTGAGTGGCACCCTATCACAGTCCTTTCCCTGAATTCCATCTCACCAACCTACTATCCAAGTCAGGGGCTACTGTTTCCTCAAGTTACCAATAGAACCAGATGTGATCTAGGCAACTGAAGGCCAGTATTAGGCATACAATTTAAAGTGCTTTAAGGTCATATTTTCATTACACCTATCAGAGAAGGCTCTTACTTGGTCAGAAAGGTGTTACCTGTACTGCCTATTTTACTGCAGGCATGCAGGCAGTGGCTAGTGGTAAGGTGTCTACTATTCCTCTTCCCAGGCTTTGAGACCTACTGTGAAGGTATATGCTGCTGAACCCTTGAATGCAGATGACTGCTACAAGTCCAAACTGAAAGGGGAACTGACCCCCAATCCCTGTCCTCCAGAAACCATAGCAGATGGTGTCAAATCCAGCATTGGCCTAAACACCTGGCCTGTTATAAGGGACCTTGTGGATGATGTCTTCACTGTCACAGAGGATGAAATTAAGGTGAGGCTCCAACAGGAAAGAAAACCAAAGAATGGAGCAACTTTTTAAGCAAAAGATACTTCTCTTGTAGGTAGCAACTCATCCACTGGGGATTTGACTTGGTGACTCATGATGTGGGAGGGTGCTCTAGGTATTGGGACAACCCTCATCAGCAGAGTTAGAATGAAAAAAAAAAAAAAGACTAGCTCTTCATTGGCAAGCATATGTATATATAACATTTAGCTTTTAAGTGTAAAGGCCCACCAACTAGGCTTTCCTTCTCCCGTTTCACTAATTCTTACTCCCTCTCTACCAACAGTATGCAACCCAGCTGGTATGGGAGAGGATGAAACTGCTTATTGAACCTACAGCTGCTGTTGGAGTGGCTGCTGTTCTGTCTCAGCATTTTCAAACAATTTCCCCAGAAGTAAAGAACATCTGTATTGTGCTCAGTGGTGGAAATGTAGATTTAACTTCCATAACTTGGATGAAGCAGGCTGAAAGGCCAGCCCCTTATCAATCTGTTTCTGTTTAATTTATGCATAAGGAAGAAATGTGATTCAGTTTTCCTAGACACTTGGAAATTTTGTTTCTTAGTCAATGTTAACTTCCCACTTCTTACCTACTTAAACAGCTTTCAACATCCTAATGGAGGGTAGATATATCAGTAAGATTTAAGGTTGTGTGTTTTTTTTTTGATAAAGTAGCAATAGAAAAAACATCCACTTAATTGAGACACCTTGTCAAGGCTAAGAAAAATCTTTTGCAAAAAGGGACAGCAGGCTTGCAGGCTAAAATAGGTAACACAAACTTTGCCCAATCACAACCTGTAGGTTCCCATCCCTAGGGTGCTAAGCTAGTAGCAAGGAGACAGAATCCCATTGTATCCATTACTTCATGTCCATTTCTGGCACTGTTGAAATCTCACTTTTCACCCAAGGTACTGGTTCTGGTACATATGGATCATAAGTCCATTTGGGGAAAACTCGTTTATAGAGGTTCATCAGTACTGTGTCCTGAGATTTTAGCTTCCCATCAAAACTGCACTTCATATGGCCATGAGTACCTAGAAAGAAAACACAGCAAGTTGGTGAGATTAAAATAAAATTTTAGCACTGGTTTCTGCCCTAATAGCCACTTAGTAGCACTGGAGATATCTAGCTGAGGTTCCAAACACCACATTCTCTTACCTAAAGGCTCCTTGATATGTCCCCTGCGGCCCCACTTTGTTCTCAGTTCCACCGGTTTAAACCACAGCACGTCCTCTTAGAATGAAACACACAGAAGACCAAGATACATTTACCTGCAAAATGTACACCCAACCTTCACCCCATAAAGGCAATCAGATCCCAACCTTCACACCTACCTCTGCTGAAGAACATGTAACGTACTACTGCCATCTTAGTAAAAATTTTGAAAGGATGACCACTCAGAACAACTCTCTTGATGACCATCCTGTCTGGATCCACTGACAAGAGATGGCCGGTAGCAACGAGGCTGTGCATTCCTAAGGGGCAAAAGCAGAGCAGCAAGAGTCTTTAGGCCAAAGCATTTATTGCTCCAGTCCATTTAAAGACCTATGCAAGATATTCTTAGAGAAACCTTAAAATAGGGATGTACTATGCTGCCTTCTTAGATCCATGGCAAAGATCACTAAGTGATATTCCTGCTGACCCTGTCCCCAGAACCTATCCTGAATATAACACTTTGAGCAGCTTCTACCAATTAGCTCCAGTTTGCAAGCGAGATCACACCCCATTGCCCGGCTGGTGTGGCTCAGTGGTTGAACATCGATTCATGAACCAAGAGGTCACTGGTTCGATTGCCAGTCAGGGCACATGCCCGGGTTGCAGGCTCAATCCCCAGTATGGGGTGTGCAAGAGGCAGCCGATCGATGATGTTTCTCTCTCATCGACGTTTCTATCTATTCCTCTCCCTTCCTCTCTTAAAAAAGAAAAATCACTAAAAATGTATTTAAAAAAAAAAAAAAGAAGAAAGGATCAAACCCCATTTGTCGCCCGCCCCTGCCTTAGACCCACTGTGAGGCTGAGACTGGGATATTCTGAAACTATCATCCCCTTCTCTATACCATTTGGCTCCCAAATCTAAATACAGAAAACCATGTTAAGTCTATTAGAGACCTGTAGGTCTGTTTACCTCTGTGAACTCAACTTACCATTGCTATTCTGTTTGAAAAGCAGCACAGATGCAGGAGGAAAAGTGATTGGGGCATATACTGTCACCACCAGGGCCATGTCAGCAGTCAAGAATCTCTGAAATTTATGTTTATCCGCTGCCATAATAAAGGTTAAAAAATAAAAACCAAAAACATTTTGAGGAACCACAGGTAATCCAGAGGCCTGTGAAAAGCTATATCACTGCAACTCTTACACCCAAGACAGCTTGTGTTTCTCTTCCCAACTAGTTCTTAAAATATTTTCCTGCCTCCATACACCTCAAAGGTACAACCCGAACCTATCACAGTGATTTTTCAGAGGCAGAATTTGAGCCTAGACTACATTTGGGGTTTGAAAAAGTTCTCCAGTGATTCTAATACATATCACCCCTACCTACCTCATTTGGGAATCAGTACTTTGTAGAGAATATGTCCACTAAATCAACAGTTTAGTCTTGAGAACTGGCAAACATTTTCTATAAAGGGCCAGATAGTAAATATTTTAGGCTTTATGACCATGGAGTCTCTGTTCTAATTACTCAACTGTCACTAGAGTACAAAAATAGCCAAGACAATATATTTTTTAAAAAGCAAAACTGTATTCCAATAAAACTTTATAAACAGTAGGACAGACGTGGCCCAAGGGCTATATTTTACTGACCTCTGATCTTGGGGACTATCTGGAATTTCTGTTTTTACCTTCAATGAAACCCTCCTCCTTTTTAAATACTGAAGTATAGGAAAGTAAAATATTTTAAGGGAAAGAAAAGTTAATCCCTCATTTAGACAGCATTGGTGGTGAGAACAGAAATTATCCAGAGCTCCCATTAATACCGCCTTCATCATCTTCCTCTGGCCATTGCTGAGCTGAGTGTGTAAGTCATGTTCAAAAGCCCCCAAGTTAATACAAAACTTCCCACTCCTAATTTGTAGGACAATAATTTTTGCCACAAAAGTGTCACCACTCTCCAAACTCTCACCTAGTCTCAACATCTCAGAAGCCACACATCTCTTGCTTAATCTATCTGGGGATGACCCACTAGCCTTCACCCACACTGCCAATGGCATATCAGATGTCAAGGGTTCCACACTTTGATACATCATTTTTATAAAGCCGCCTCCCCTGACTCAAAATCTACCCTGGAACAAATACTCATGGCAGAGAAACCTCAGCACCACACAGAGGTAGCATCACTGGGACGCTTCAGACAGGTTCAGACATTTCGAATAAACACATCATTGGCTTCTAAACCAGAGTACTGAAAATGCCTCTAACCCAGAGACCTAGAATTTGAAATTGTGTGCTCTGTACCAACTCACCTAAAGTTACAGTTTCCCAAGAGACAACAGGATAGACAAGAACCCAGAGGTTCCCCACTGCTTACCCGCAGTGTGCTGAGAAAATAAAGGTGAGGCTCGGAAGCGCCTGAACCCACAGTGGAAGATCAGCTCCTCTTTAGCTTTCACAGGTTCAGTGTTGCCAGGATGCCGGCTTACCACCATATTCAGTACTGACATCTAGAGACCAAGTAAGAAAAACAGAACTTCGTATCTAGAACAGCTTAACCTGAAAGAAGGCAAACCAAACTAACAGGTTCAGATTCACATCTGATGTGGTACAGATGATGAGACACAGATTCACCTTTTACCTTCACACCAACTGGCATTTATACCGAACACAGGCTGGTTTTCAGAGCTTTCATGTACCCATCTGTACTAGTTGACATTCCGGTGTCTAACATGCAAGAGCTCAACACCTGCCACATGCTCAGTGACTTCAAGCTACTCACTCACCACACACCTCAAAATCACACTCATGAAGCCTCCTTTCTTCCTCAACACTTACTCACACTGACCAAAGGCCAGAGCTCTCACATACACTCCAACCTCCATGACTACTGCCTCCCAGAGAAAAGATCCACACCTTGGCATCCACACCCTTTATTTTTAAGGCTGCCAACCCTTGGTTAAAATCTGATCTGACAAGTATACTTATCTCAGAGAAGTCTCAGAACCACACAGGTTGCATCATTGAGATGCTCAGACAGGTTCAGACATGTAGGGTTAAACCATCATTGACTTCTCTATCACCCTGGTTTAATCCTCAAGGCCTATTTTTTTGCATCCCAATGAGCAAAATGCCAGGCACAAGTAAAATGTTAGACTGTCAGATAAAACTGGTCAGAAAGTTTCATAACTCCCATTTCCCACAAGACACTAACCTTCTGTTCATGAGGCAGTAAAGAAAACACAGCCAAGGGTGCCCCGCGCTTGAAATACTCAACCACAGAGACAGGTACTTCAGAGACATGAAGTGTGACGTACCAGCCAACCTGCCAGATAAAGCAGAAAACAGCCACACAGTTTCCCTTAAGGCCTCAATAATGATGAAACATTTATCCAAATATGTTAAAAAGTCTCATAAGGCCAACCCCTGCCCTTCAAAATTGCCTTTCACAGATGCCTCAACTATCCAGATTAAACTTTTCCAGTTAACATATCTGATACCTCCATTCTCCCAATATCACTCTTATCAATGACTCAGTGGCTCCTCTAATTCAGCTATGGGCAGCACAAAACTAACTAAGGTAATCTTGCCAAGAGGAGTAAAGGAGGGGGCAGCTTGGCAAACAAAAGCAAATTGTAGGGATGAATGAAGGAAGGAAGGCAGATACCTCAGCTCCTTCAACGTCTTTTTCCTTGATTTCTTTAAAGATGCGTTTCCTGGTATTGGTAAAGTTCTGAAACTGAAAGATCCGAGCATAATCTTGAGGAAGATTTTCCTTAGGATCCCATGGAGATGTCCGGAAGCTCTTGAGGCCTCTGTATTTCTGAAATCTAGAATATAGGAGATTTTAAATAAATTAATAGTCTAATTTATATGGTGCTACCCTTTCACTTAAGTCAATAATATGGCTAAGGTTCTAACTTAAAAGAACTCTTATCACTATTTCTTCAAGATAACCTAATAGCCCAAATCAAGAGCACACTCCAAAACAGTTAACAAGTATTTCAGAACCAAACCCAAGTTTCTCACTGACAAAGGACAAAGTATGTATAGTGGCTCCCTGGTGCCTATCAGGGATGGCTCCTTAACCTGAGGAACACGGTCCTTAATAAAAGCCTAACTTCTCTAACATCCAACAAACTCCCTGAGTTTTCAGACTAATCCCCGTGCTTTTATTCTTTTGGTTCTACCCAAATCCCCCAAATCTCCAAACATTCAATTGAGTATTAGTTCACATAGGAAGATTGCTAATTAATCTTATTAAAGTACTGTTAACGTTATTAGTCTACACCACAGTCTAGAACTTGGTAATATATTAATTTCCTGTATGTATGTCTTATCTTCCCACATATAACATTAGCCCTTCAGGAGCAGAACAATGTTTTTCTTCTTTCGTGTCACACTGACACCTCTGAGCCATATAAATTTAAAATAAAAAATGTATTAACTGATTTTGGAGTTGTTGACTAACCGAATTCTAGCAGCCACATCACGGGGCGTATCTACTTCATCTGGAAACATCTCTTCCAGTCTTTCTTGTTTATATTTTTCTAGCATTTTTTCCTCAGCCTCTTCATCCACTTTCTCATCATATAGATCATCACGCACAGACTCTCCAATAGTCATAGTTTCACATTCTTCCTCTTCTTCCTCTTCACTACTCTCATCCTGTGGAATAAAGGATTGCAGTTTCAGAAGAAACCCACACCTATCTCTACCCTAAAAGCCATTAAGCTAAGAATAATAGTTATTAGACACCTAGTCCAAACCGTATTAATTCTGAGAGACTCAGTTATAAAACAAGTCTCATTCCTGGCAACCACAGTCATTCTTAAAAAACTGACCACAGGCCCTGGGTGGGTAGCTCAGTTGGTTAGAGCATTGTCCTGATGCATACACCAAGGTTGTGGGTTTGATCCCAGTTAGGGCACATACAAGAATCAACCAATGAATGCATAAATAAGTGGAACAGCAGCCCTGGCCAGTTGGCTCAGTGGTTAGACTGTGGGCCTGCAGATTGAAGAGTCACAGGTTCAATTACTGGTCAAGGGCACATACCGGCTTTGCAGGTTCCATCTCAGTCCCCATTCAGGATGAAACAATGATGTGTCTCTCTCATGTCCATGTCTTTCTATCTCTCTCTCTCCCTCTCCCCCTCCTTCCCTTCCTCCCACTATATCTGACAAATCAATGGAAAAAATGTCCTCAGGCCCTGGCTGGTTTGGCTCAGTGGATGGAGCATCGGGCCTGAAGGGTCCCAGGTTCAATTCCAGTCGAGGGCACATGCGGGCTCAATCCCCAGTCGGGGGCATGCAGGAGGCGGCTGATCGGTGATTCTCTCTCATCACTGATGTTTCTACCTCTCTCTCCCTCTCCCTTCCTCTCTGGAAAAAAAAAAGTCCTCAGGTGAGGATTAAAAATAACAATAATTGGAACAACAAATTGATGTTCTTCTCTCCCCCTTTCTAAAAAAAAAAAATCAATAAAAATTAAAAAAACAACAACAGCTGACAACACATATCTTAAGGTCAGGATTGCACTCTGCCTTGCAGTTGGGGCTGTATACAGAAGTGGCCTAAGGGACTATTTTCTTACCTGAGATTCCTCTTCCATAAAATCCTCATGTTCTACATCATCATATTCATCATCTTCCCCACCACTTCCGCCATCCTCATCCAAAATCCATTCAGCTTGGTAGCTGGATGTTCCTTTAGGAACCTTCTTTACCACCTTGGAACTTTCCTTCAAAAAGTCTGTAAAAGCCCAAATAAGTTAAGTAAATTATATACCTCCTTTCCCCTATTACTTGGGGTATTCTCACCTAGGAAAGACCAGATGTTGCTGCCAACACCAAAACCTCTAGCAGACACAATAAGCAAAACAGACTACTACTTCCAAATTTAATTCCACTGCCTCAAAACTAGCAACATTTAACTAAATAAACCTTACAACGAATCCCAAGTTGTTTTCATTAGAAAATAGTAACAAGTGATTTTGAGAAATGAGGCAAAGCTGTGTCCAATGTTTGCTTAAGCAAACAGAAAGCATTTGGAGGACAAGAGACAAACCTCTAAATAAATCCTCATCCCACTCTACCTTATAGGTCTTGACTGTGAGCAGCTAGACAAAATCCACAATTCCAGGCCAGCTGAATTACAAACAAGCTGCCATTACCAACCATTTGCCTCACTCAGTTCCTCCTCAGTGGGCCAGGTTTGCTCCCCCTCCATTGGATCAGGTATAACCTCTGTTTGCAAAGACTCTTGTCTATCAGGGTCTGCCTTCATTAGGACCTTAAGGTCTTCCTCCATGTCAGTTACAGCATCTGCAGCACATATCTAAAAACAAAAAACAGGTAATAGTCAGTCAAATATTAATGAAAAATCTACTAAATCTAACATAGTAACCAGAAAGATGAAAAAATAACATAGTCCTCACGTAGAAGATGAATGAAATAAATTGAAAGAGAAAGCCAAAATGTGTCAAGTGTTTTCAAATGGTTCTGTTTCCTAGCATTTTAAGCCTATACCTCTGCTTGACTGGAGGCTTTTCAGAATCTGGCCCCACTATCTTTTTGTTACATACCTTATTCCCAACCAAGCTGATTTCTTCAGAGTTCAAAGAAATCCTTTGATCCACCATTATGCTAGGTTCATGTTGTTTCTATATTCTAGGATATTCTTTCATCTCTCTAAAACTTGTAAATCACATTCACCCTATTCAACACCTAGCTGATGTCTGATATCTCTGTGAAGCTTATTAGTCTACTTCCTCAACTCCCACCGCAGGTCTGTACCTCAACCACACTTCCCCAATCTTTATTTCACAGGTGTTTGCCATTTGTTTTTCCTGACCTAACTGTCTGAGGAAAGAGACTACATCTTGTGTCTCCTATAAACCCAGAGCCAACTGCTGTGTAAGGCACCTGCAGAGTGCTGGATAAATATATAACATACCAACATATTTGTAATTGACTAGTGCCTTACTTCCAACTAGCAGTCACCCCCAGGGACTAGGGTAGTTGTCTGGGCATGCAGACTACCTTCTCTGAAGTTAGTTTCCATCATACACCAGCTTACACATGAAGCAACAATACATACTCTTTAAGAACATCAATCTTACCTCCATCGCCATGCCTGAGTCCTTTTGGGATTTGATCACTCTAGGGTTTAAAGGAAAAGGATCCACAGGAGCATCTATCTGTTTCATCTGGAAGTCACCATGTCCAATGATATGCAACAAGCTATTTACATTCAGAGTCTGTCCACGAACATAGCCTGAAATTTTCAAGGTCCCCACCAGGTTATTCTCTTCATTAGGCACAAAGTCAGCATCATGAGCAAAAAGATAGGCCCGCCGATCTCGAAAGGCAAGATGCCGCTGCTTCTGGTTAGCCAACTGCCGGAGAAGCATCCCTGCCTCCTGTTGCGTGTCTAACAAAAGGAGCTTGTCATCAGGAAAGCGCTTCTCCACTACTTTACTTAGCTTCTTTCTGGCATCTATTTGTTTCTTCGGTGGGAGGCCAGAAATCCCCTGGACAGCTAGTGCTAGGAGCAAAAGAGAAAAGGGCTTCATGACTTCTTGCTTCACTACATGAAAATTCCCCAAGCAAGTTCACAAAAAAAACTAACAGTTGTGAGCACAGAGATCACTGGGAAACCCAACACTCAGCTACCTTAAAGAAATTACAGAGTAAAACCAAACTTTATACTCTTCTTCCTCTGGGCAAAGGGCAGTCCAGAAATAAAAAGGCACCTCATACAAAATATTGAAAAAAAAATTTTTAAGGCACATTGATGCAAGTTATAGGTGCACACTAAGGGCTAATTCACTTCCTTCATGGCCTCCAATATTTCCAGATCACTTACTATAGGTGGGAAGGCCCTGAGCAAAGAGGCAGGAAAGGCAGTAATCCCCGGTGCTGTCCCAGCCTTCTAGTGGATCAAGGAGGAACAGGATGCTATCAGCCACTTTAGCCAAGTCTAGCACCGTGTGCAGATCTCCTGGAGATAGAAGACAAAGTCAGTAGGAAGAGGTGGTTGGCATTAGCACATAACACTAAAAAAATATTATCACTACTCATACACAGTGATAGAAAATACTGTATACTCTAACCTGGCCTTGCAGATGTGAAAAACCACCGATGTTTCAAGCTGGGGCATAGCAGCATAAAGCTGTGGGTCCTTCCCCATTCATTCAAGTGTACTGTTCCAGTGTCCCTATCCTGAAGCAGCCGAAAGGCCTCTGGCAGAGAAATCCTGTCGTGCAGGGGCACCACCAGTACCTGATGAGGAGGGCCATCTTTACTGCCCAGCTGTCTCTTCTCTGCCAGAACCTGAAAATAGAAAGGACCAGAGAATATCTGTGTTTCAGCACTTCCTTCCATTATGGCCTTTCCAACGTAGGGATGCCCTACCCCGCTTCATTTCTCTTGTAAAAAGCCACGTGTTTATCCTGGGGGGTGGGCAGGAGCTCAGACCAAAGCAAAGGATGCTCTAGCATGAATCTAGACCTGCACAACTAGCATGTGCTCCAGGGTTATTCACCGTCTCCGGCCTGCCCAGGGTCACATTTCTAGTTGGAGGCATTATCCGCCTAGAACAACTGTGAAGCCACACCATCCCCAATCCCTACTCCTCTCACCGCCTCTTTCTTCTGCTTCCGAAGCTGGCTGGCGCGATGCCTCTGGTCTACTCTGCTGAGCTCCTTTCTCACCTTCTTGCTTAGGCTTTTCAGTGCTAGACGGCCTGGAGGGAGATCATAAAGGGGACCAGAATAAGGTCAAGAAAGGGGACCTCTTTTCGCCCACCTTAGAGCATTTACGCTGGGTCCAGGCCGGAGGTAGGAGTTGAGACTGGGCATGGAGAATAGCAGTTACATCGACTAAGCCCTTCTCCCTCCAACCCTACATTCTCACCCTTGCCGTCCCGCTGCGCGGATCCCCGACCTCGGTGCCGTCCGCCTTTATGAGCTTTATTCTGTTGCTTGAGCGGACCTGAGCGGTGGGCGGCCATGCTGCCGCTCACGTGGACCAAGTCAGCACTACTTCCGGCCCGGAACGAGTGCTTCCGGTCCCTCCCTTAGGGGCGTGTCCTCCCAGGGGCGGGGCGGGGTTCTCCTCGTCCTCTCGCGAGGGTCCTAGCCGCCGCTCCCGCGCCTTCACAAAACCGCTTGGTAAACTTTTCCCACGCGGCTGTCGGCCTGTGGGGGCTTTCAAACGCCGAATGTAGACGCTAAGTTTGCGCTGTTACTTCCAGAGGGCTGTTTTGCTCTCCTTATATTCAGTTTTGCTCTAACAAGTTGCATCACTGAGGACGATGTTGAATGGCAGCTTCTCCATCCGTGCGGAAGAGGGCAGAGCCCCTCTGCTCACCCAGCTTTTCACACGCCGCTCCTCACTTTGCAGCAGCCTGTGCGCCGCATCACTTTGAGCAACGTTTCACGACCCTCATTTCCCTTGTGGTGCTGCTGAAGGCAAGCAAATAGCGTGGAACGCGCTTCTCTAACTTTCACGGGCTCCGCACAGTCCCCGCGGGTCCCGGTTGCCCCAACCCGCGCCCCCACCTCCCACAGAGCTGCAACAAGTGCCGCACTGGGCGCGACGGCCCCTACGACGCCGGGTCGGCCTCTTGAAGCTCCTGTCTCCTGCACTCCCACGCCTACCCACAAGCTTTGCAAGGGAGGGCAGGGGGAGTAGAGCAGCGGTGGAGTTCTGGCCTTGCAGCCAGGGGACCACCGCTTCCTTTCCCGTGGCCAGACTGGAGGCGCGGGGGGCACCCGGACTTTCCCGTCGGGAAAACGAGCCGGTAGAAATCAGGGAGTGCGCCCAGCTGGATTGAGGCCAGTTACCGCGCGAGCAACTTTCTCTTCAGCCGCAGGGTTCAGGGTGCGCCTCGCCTCCAGGGTCGCTGTGCCGGCCTGGCTGCAGGTGCTCACAATGCGGGTTCCCGCCCTGGGGACTGAAGCCGGCGCGTTG